ATATGTTTCATGTGTGTGTTATACTTTCCACACCTCAAAATTTAGGCTAGGCGATAAGAACGCTCTTTTATTATTTGATTGAAGCTATCTCACCTATTTAAATGAACATTCCAAGAGAAATTCACTAAGATTTACTCGTTGCGTTTGGCGCGAAATTATAAATAGTGACCCTTCTTTCATAATTCCAAGACAGATTAACTGTTGCAGAATTATATGTACATACAAGTGAAGAAAGAGTAGTTGTTCAATAGCGTAATCGATAAGCGTATTGGATTTTCACGCTCGTGACCCGTTTCAATTCCCAATGTGTCCAAAATATGTTTAAACCATTTTCAGCTCGATTTTATGGGTTATTTTTCGGAATCGGACGGAAGACCTACTCGTTGCTCGCAACGAGATCGTTTCTAGTTATAGTACCAATTAGAGCTTCTATCACGGTAAAATAGTAACGGTTACTAGCCGTTTGTATAAAAAGTCGCGTGGACCTATTTTTAGCAAATGTACATTCTTTATCCTATCGTGAAAAATTCGCGATAATGATGGTTTTGTAAAGTTAAAATTACACATAAGTGCTTATGTATTTTCAGTAAATTAAGATTATAATTAAACAACTTAAAACAAAATATTAAATTATTGCTAACATATGTATTTCTTTCAAAACTATTTTTAACACCTGTGACCTTGAACGGAGGTAACAATGCAACCCACTAAGCAAGAAATGCTCGGTTATAAAAAGGAAAAGAAAAGAAAGAAACTCTTAATACTTTAATACTTGCCCAGGCGAAGTTGTTACTTATCAGATATTTTTGGTTTTTTATCCTAAGTTATCCATTACATGCAAAAAGTGCTACCAGCTTATTTTCTCCTTTATTTTCATCGTAATTTTTCGCCGCGTCTCAAAACAAGAATCATTGTTAATTTTTACGATTGAAAACAAGATTTCATTCACCTATGCAATTTTCATTTGTAAAAATGTACACAATCTTGATATATTTTATTGAAATACAATGAGATAAAAATTCATTTTTTAATGACATGTTTGCAACACAGATCATTTATTAATTATAATCAAGCTGAAATTGTTTGCATCGAAATCGATACCTTATTGCGATGGTAATTTAGCGGTAAACATAAGAAGACCGAAAGTTAATTTGATGGTGGCCACGCGTGTCAAACACTTAGGTGAAAGAGATATACACAGGGACTGGTAGCTAACTGTCAATCAATTTCAAGTACCCAATGATGGACCTTAATTTATTTGATTGACATGGGGATACAGACCAGGTAAATCTGAAGGCGAAGCTTAATTATTATCTCGGGCTTTAAGCGCAGTAAAGAATTGTGAAAACGACGAAACAATGGCATTTGACGTCAAGGCGGAGCAGCCATAAAATAAAACTTTTGTGCAGCGCTATCTAAAACTCTTTTCCAGACTGACCAACCTTATGAAACAATAACAAGACTACAAAACATAATTAAGGGTTGTTATTACAGTGGCTTATATTTTTTCTGACCAATAATTCAACAAGAGTAAAATTAAAAGCTCCGGACGACAACCAACAAATTCATTTGGGTTGACCCGCGTTGCATTTATCTACACTGCATGATGCAAAGTCACCTTGTACATGTATATATGACAAATGAAAATTTTACACTGGCGAAACAACAGCAAGGATTTTTTAAAGAATCATTTAAGAAAGGAGAAAGATTGATTTTTGTGATGTTTTTTATTATACAGATGTGACCAAGTGCAATAATGTAGGTTTCTAGATTTATTCACATAATATATAAGGTGATTCTACAAAAAAATATAAGTACATGTAAATATATATACAATTTATACATAGTAATGCATTAAGTATGACAAGTATATACATATTAACTTTAAAGCTGATTATCTTAGCCGTTTATTTACTAAGAATAATTATAATTTAAAGTTATAAATATATTTAAAAAAATACCATGTGCGAGGTGGAAGTGGGTAATCAGGGCGCCCAATCTGCAGTAGTTCGAATTTAGATTTGGCTAACTTATATTACAAAAGAAACGACCAGAACAGTCAATGAAATTTCTTAACCAAAAGTAAATCAAACAAAGTGTTTACACACTCAATCTACCTGCGCACACAAACTAGCCTTACATCACTCTCAAGGACATCGTTAAATTATCTTGAAACGTAGTTAAATGCAAAATTCTAATAAATACATTCAATATATATCAATCCGCCCGCATAAAGAAAGAAAAAAGTAAACGCTTCCCGATCGTTCCACATACATGTACGAAAACCTCTCATGGCTGACGTGACGTTAAAATGAGGTAGCGATGCTGCTCCAGGTCGATAGACATATGTATCTTAATAATTTCACCAGAACTTACCTAAGAAGAAATTTCAATTTTAATAGAACCTAAAGATATGTGGGTTTATTGTATCGTTGTGGTGACTTTTAAATTATTATTTAAAAATCTTCATGGAGTTATCATTATTGTGACGGCTTTTGAGGTTGGTGTCTTCTAAAAGACATCAAGTTTACTTATATCCTGCCTCATGAATTCTGATTAAAAGCATGTTTTATTAACCCCGTTCCCTTCAGTCACGTATTTTAACGCATATACCAATTTCCTATTTCTAACGCAAAATCACGGATCTACCCTTTCACGCACGTGAAAAAAGGACATTTAATCTTAAATTTATTGCCAATTTCTTTGCTAATTCTCAATCAAATAAAAAAAGTTATTTTCTAATTAAAATAATACATCATAATATTATTAACGCTTAACTTTAGAAAAAAATGGACCACACGCAATAAAGTGCTTGCGGGGAAAAGGTAGCGGAATATATCTATGACGTGAACATTAAGTGTGGTTTGTATAACAGTTCAGTAAGTTGTAAATCAAAATTCAAACCTCTAATTATTATATTTACTACACTAATGTATATTATTTGTAAGCTTACCTGCTTGAATTATTTCTTACGATGAAACTCCTTTAAATTTGGGTTAGGGTTAGGGTTAGGTTTAAGAAATTGAATACGTTACAATTTCTGATAAACCTATGAAAAAAATGTAGAATTCAGTTTTTCAAGTTTCATTCAATAGTAGAAAGTTCTTTGTGTGTTTTACTTTTATTTGAAAACTCTAGACCTATACGTAAAACGGTTTTTGGTATGATTATCGCTTTGAAGGGAGGGTTGTGTAAATTTGAACTAACACAGATCATCTTAATTCCCGGTTTGGCTTCACAACGAAAAACCTGCTCAACAAATATCAGTGGAAACGATTTCATAATTATAGATATTAAACTAGAGCAAAGCTCGTTGCAAAGCAACGAGTAAGTCTTCTGTCCTGCTTTGACCGGAAGTGACGTCAACAAAAGAAAGCAATGAGCTAAGTCGTCTCCGGTAACTTTATAATTTCAATTTTGCATCAAAACCTTAAAAAATAAGCCATTTTTGTCTACTTCCGGTTTGACCGGAAGTGATGTCGACGGACGGAAAATTAAGTTTTATGCTTCCAGTGACATATGTTACCCAAATACTTGTCAAGAACGGTTTGACCGGAAGTGACGTCACCGGAAGCATTTGACTTCGATAGATTTAGCTTGACATTTTGAACAACTTTGCTTCTTGGACGTATTACAAATTCTCAATAATTTTTTAAATATCTGGAAAAGATTTTAGCCCGTCTCGATCCCTTAATTAAGGGGTCAGCCCTTTTAACGAGATATCATTTGAAAGATCTTGTAATTCTGCACAAATTTTGTTCTATATATTTTAAGAAAATATTCTTAATTTAAAAGATAAAAAGCAAAATATGTGTAAATTCTCGCTCTTTTAGGCGTTCTAATTTTTTACCCCTATATAGTACCATTTTGAATAGAGAAATCGAAAAACAAAAACAGCTATGCACAACTTCAATCCTTCTATTGTGTAAAATCAGTAAAATTTCTGCTCCAGCTTTTGCCATCTCCGATCCTTTGTTTGGAAATGAAAGTTTAAAATTTTCGTTAAAAGGGAAATAAATCAAAAGCGGAAGTGAATTTTTGAAATGCTAGACAAAATTCTGATAGAGTTTAGTAACGTCTATAAACTCTGAAAATTTGAGCAAAATCCATTGAGAAATGAGTGAAATATGAGACCTCAAATTTGGTGTCTAGGAAAAGCGAAAAAAAGAATTATAAGAATAAGCTTAATCAGAATCAGTAGAAGGTCTTCCGTTTGTAATTCGCCAGATGCTGGCATAGATAGAGTTTTTAAATTGCAAAAAAGGGCAGCCCGGATTATTTTAGATGTGGCTTATGATGCCCCTTCACTACCATTATTTGAAAAACTTGGATGGCTGACCATATATGAGTTAATTGATTTTCATAAATATATATTACTGTACAAAACACTTCATGGTATGGCACCATCTTATTTAAGAGATTCCTTTGAATTTATTTCTTCTAATAGTTATGTACTTAGATCTGAAACAAACTATGACCTTCATCTACCGAAATATCGAACAAATCAATTTAAGAATTCTTTTCATTATTCCGGTGTTCATGTATGGAACAAATTACCCTTGCAACTAAAAGTTATATAATTCCATGTTCTTGAATCGATCTGTATATGTCCTTGTATTTTCACGTCATTTTGTATTATTTATTATGAATATTGTACTATGTTTTTATAATTGTATTATTGTGAATGTGTTTAGAGGGCCCCGAGAAAGACTAGTGCATTGCACTAATCGGGTTACCCTCTTTAAATAAAGTATTATTATTATTATTATTATTATTATTATTCATACATGGGAGTGTAACCTCTGATTCATGCCCAACTGTAAATGGTTTGTTATTATGATTAGAGTAAACGAGGACTTGTAAAACTAACAGATACAATAATGTAGTGAATAAATGCCTAGAAGCTAAATGAACTCTTGCTTTCTATCTTATCTTGTTAATGATACGTGTATTTTGCTTCATTACATATACTCATACTGCAAACGGATTCTGCTTCGCAGGTTCTTCAACAAATATGATGAGGTAAACGTTATCTAAGAAATATTTTACGTCTTTTGATGAAATTTCTCTAGTATTTAGTCTCATTGTAGAAGATCAGAATTCTTAACATTTATTGGAAAATGTCATAAAAGCATTAATTTGCTTTTGAAATATTTCTCTTGTAATCCCCCTTGCCATCTTGCTATTTTCCAAAAGGATTCTGGTAAAATATCTACGTTTTAAAAAAAGTTCTTTGGGCATGACGTCCATTGGTATCCTAACCAAAAAGGGCATAACTTTTATTTGTTATTCTCACATTTTGCCGTAAAGGCGAATTGATATTACTTTAAAATCCTACTTAAAAGTGGATATAGGAGTGAATGTAGGAAAAAGGGCGGCCTTGTTGATTATCGTTAATTTATGTTGAATTAGCTCACTGAGAAGCACCCATTCTATTTCAAAGTGTAAATTAAACGCAAATGTAAAATTTTCCCTTGTTGACATTTTTTAACTATTTGCGATTTCGCATTGCCTAGAAAACTGTGTAAATCAGTTTTTTGTACAAGACACCTTTCTAGTTTTTTTTTTTTTGAAAATACGAGAGTTCATCCAAAAGTAAGGTCATAACTATCATGACATATTTAATGATCGACAGTTTTTAACAAAACTTAATTATACTATTCCTCAATTTATTTTTAATTTTGTCCTTACATTTCATTCAGATATAATTTATGTAATACTTCATAAAATATGAGAATAACAGTTACTTAATGTTGAGACCCGAGTCTACATGTATGTCCGTACAGCAAAAATGCATCGACGTCATTAAAACGTTTTAGCTCACCTGAGATCGCATTTGTCCGTCGTACGTCCGTCTATAAACTTTTAACATTTTCGACTTCTTCTCAAGAACCACTGGGCCAATTTTAACCAAATTTGGTACAAAGTATCCTTGGGTACTGTCAATTTAAATCGTTAAAATGAAGGGCAAGATCCTCTCACAAGGGGAGATAATTAAGAAAAGACAAAAATAGGGAGGGGTCATTAAAAAGTCGTCTTCTCGAGAACCACTGAGCCAGAAAAGCTGAAACTTATGTGGAAGAATACTGGGGTAGTGTAAATTCTAAGTTGTTCAAATCAACCCCCCCCGGGGGGGGGGGGGGGGGGCTCGGCGGGGTCACAATAGGGAATCAAATTTTACTTAAAAATAAGGAACGTAAGAAAAATATTTAAAAATGTTGTTTTCAAGAACCATTGAGCCAAAAAAGCTAAAAATAATGTGGAATGACCTTCGAGGGTTTGGCGGGGCCACAATGGGGAATCAAAGTTACCTTGAAATATATAGGAAAAATATTTAAAAATCTTATCATGAACCACTGAGCCCGAAAAGTGGGTGGGGCCACAAAAGGGAATCCTCTCCTCAAGAAGACAAGAACTACTGGGCCAGAAAAGCTGAAATTCCTGTGGTACTGTAGATTTTGAAATGTCCAAATTATGACCTTTGGGATACAATTGGATCACAATAGGTATTAAATGGGGATATCTAGTCAAAGCTAGTCAGGTGAGCTATGTGACCTATGGGCGTCTTGTTTAACTTTAAGAGTGTTTTTGAATTTGAAGTTGCATAAACCTTGGATAAAGTTTATATGATTTAATTCTACAATTTAAAGCCAGTTTCAAAGCAAAGTGGCTGTAAACATTATCAAAAAGAAGCATATGACAGGTTAAAAAAGGCAAGCAAATGAACCTAATATAAGTGCTGAATATTAACATCACAGAGACGTTTGTTTCACTCTTGCTATTTGCCTTGCGGCGATTGACAAAAGACCCCAACGGTGAATTTAAATTTATATTTTAAAAGGTATGCTACCAGGGTATTTTATCAAATGTTTTTACGGCAAAAGACAAACTGAAAAGGGGTTTTAGTATGTCAAATTTTATTGATAACATATTATTAAACTGTAGATCACAAAATTTTTGCGATACCTTATTTTCTCGAGATAGTCATTGACACTTAAGTTTATTAGCAAGACTTAATTTTCAGGAATTGTTGTTTTTCCTCTACATAATTGTCAGGAATACTTTTAAGCGTGAAAGTGAAATATTCGTGAGCTCATTGTCACGCGTATTTTCGCGAAAATTAAGTTCTCGATATGTACATGTATTTATAAGCTTTTTATAGCAGTTTTGATAGAACTTTTGGATCGACTCTCGTATGTACGTATCTTCCCATAACTCCCTGTAGTGCTCCTTCACAATTCATATTGTTACTTTTAGTTTTATTTCAACCTATCGACTCGACACAACAGACGATTATTTTTCTATTTAATGTATTTTTTTTTTACATTGTAATTGTAATATTGTAGACAATATTAATATATAACCACGTTTGTAAATTTTCAACGACTCATTTGGTTTGAAATACACATACACCAGTTGAAAATTTATTCATCTGTAAATTATTACTAGATATACTTAAGAGTAATTCTGATGGCATTATGTAAATATCTATTGCTTACACCCCATTCACATATGCCAAAATAAAGCACTTTGCAATTTGAAGGTTTAATGTAAAATAAGCATACTCTATATAAGTTGACTCACGTGAAAGGGGTTCAACAATCTAGTTTTCACCTCCTAAAAATGATAACAAGTTTTATTGATCCAAAGAAAAAATCCTTTTTTCCATTATTAAATTTTGATTGGTCATTTTTCGTTTCTCCTAAATCAGGTTACCAATATAATATATTGCTACACAATATTTCAGACTGTTACATTCAAAGAGGACACCTATTGATTACAATAAAAAATTAAGTGAAATTAAATTCATTTAAGTAGCCCTCAAGAGGAAAATATTTTCTGTCCTAAAATTTATTTTGTAATCGTCTCCTTTTCTTTCTTTTTTTTCTTTTTTTTTTTTTGATGTAGTATTTTAAAAATGTATTCAACATTGTACATATGATCATAATTGTATAATTGCTGATACGTTAAGAGGACCCCGAAGAAGACTAGTATATTCAGGTTTCTCTCTTTAAAAATGTATTACTATTATTACTATTATCATTATAATCATTATTATAATTAGTATTAGTAGAAGTAATTATGTTTGATAATTTCATATACGTAATATTACAACGGGGAAAATGATTTTACTGTATTTATAGAAATTAAAGAATTGGTCTTTTTCTGTACATTCATTTACAGATTAAGTTTGATAATCAACACAGATTTGTTTGTCCTGATTTTATTGAAAAAAGAATCTGATATCGATAGCAATTTTAATTTAGGTATTGGTGTATATTTTAAGACCGCGGAACATTTACTGGCAAAATTGGAAATATACAGCTTACGTCATTTCTATCTGTTACAATCAAAACATTCAGTGATAGACAACGAAATGGGCGGGTACAATTCGACGCGGACGTTTGGAAAACATCGGATTGAAATTGCAGATCGAAATTCATTTTCAATCCACCTCAGCTACGCTAGAAGGCACATTATTACTGATTGAACCAGAAGACAAATAATTTCAATTTTGGTACAGTTTGAATTTTTTGTCCAGTGTTTTAAATGAATAAATATTTAAGGGACAAATATTTCATTTCTGTTCGGTTAATATACGTATATCTTTGTGTTGTTGTTGGTGGGGGGGGGGGGGTTGAACGATTTTAAATAAAGTTGTCCAACAGTTTTCAGTGAGAATAAGTATAATAAAACACTTGCACTCTTATAATCCTAGAAATAAAATATATTGCCATGTTAAGCCATGACCTGACTCGACAATTTTTAACCCCCCCCCTTCTAGAATCAAATATCTTCTGAAAAATAATCTTTGTCTTGTATGATCTTTTGCGTTCTTAAAATTATAAGCTAAAACTCATATTATTGTGAACTTCAAACAATATGTATTTTGGAGTTGAAATCACAGGCAATTGATTCTGTAATAAATATTTGACCCATAGTATACTTGTTCTGTAAGTGTTATTATACTATGGGTCAAAAATTTATTACAGAAACAAGCGCCTGTGGTTGAAATATAGTTGATTATTGATACATTCACTTTATGCTTTGAAAACAGCTCAGGTGGATTGAAAATGAATTTCAATCTGTAATTTCAATCCGGTGTTTTCCAAACGTCCGCGTCGAATTGTCCCCGCCCATTTCGTTGTCTATCACTGAATGTTTTGATTGTAACAGATAGAAATGACGTAAGCTGTATATTTCCAATTTTGCCAGTTAATATGCTTAAAAATTTATGAATTTGAGATTAAATGATGCTTAGATTTTTTTAACAATTTTAATGATAACAACATTATTTTATTTTCCGTTAAAGACACTCAAGATACACACAGAAATCAGCAAGGAGTTTTTTCACACCAATTGCAAGAGAGTAAGTTTTTCGAGAAAGATGTTAATATATTCCTTGAAATGGATTGATTTCTTGTTTTATGTACCTAAATGATATCATAGTTCTGTTAAGTATTTGGTATTGAATTGATGATGTGCACTCAGTCTGATTTTTGAACCTTACTATTAATGGAAATAACGGACCATAATAAAAACAATTGTGGTGAAAATCACTTTTAAAAAGTCAGCTTTGAATTTGGAGATAATAAAGTGACCAATTATCTGGCATAAATTACTTCTTGGACTGTATTTAATATATTGCTTACCCTAACGATGATTATTTATGCATCACTGATGTTTCATAAATTACATATTTTTTATTCTAGAGGTAAAAGGTATTTTATCTTAAATTATTTCATTCGTAAGAAATAGACGTCTTCCAGAAATCAACTTAAATGGTGAATCTCTCTCGCTTAAAATCAAAGGAAAAAAGAAAACCCGTTCCTGATGTAGCCTTACTAAATAACATTGTCGTTTTATTCTTTTTATTACCATACGTTTTTGTTTTTCTTCAATTGGTCGTTAACTCTGAAACATATTCAGATTTTTTGATACACCACTGAGCCACATTTAATCAATTTTGGCTTATAACATCTATGGGTGAAGGAAAACAAAAATTTTAAAATCCTTTGTCCCATCCCCCTTGAGCCTGAGTGATGGGGCAACCACTTAAATAAATGTATTTTTTTATTCATTCTTTTACTCCTGGATATCAAGCAGTCAAACTGAAGGCCTGAATGTAAAAGGTATTGATTTCTCTACCAAAGTCGTGAAATTCATGGTCCCAGGGTCAGGGGTCTAAGTGCAAGTGTGGGGCATTATAGATCATATAGAGTAAGTGCATTATTCCTTTGAAATATTTTTTCTGCGGTCCTGTGTATTATTTTAACAATCTTAATGCATAGTTATGATGAGCAGGATTGGCTCTTTTAAAGTTGTGAATTTCCTGGCCCCAAGGTCAGGGGTTCTGGTGTTAAGTCGGAGGTCTGGTGAATATACAGGGAAAATAATCAATTTTTTGAAAATCCCTCTACCTCTGTGTATTATTTATACAAACTATATACTTGATATGAGGAGTATATATATAAGTTTTTGCAGACAAAAAGACAAACAGACAGACAGCCAGATAGACAGACAGACAGGTAGACAGACAGCTAGACATACAGACGATCTGACACGACAAAAACTATATACCCCAGAAACTTCGTTGACGGGGGTATAAAAAGTACTCTCATCGTCTTAATGGTCAAATGGACTTTTAAGTAATACATAAATAGAAATGAGACAAAA